ACTGCTTGGCCGAGGAAATCGCTCCTAGACTACAACAGCACACTCCATTTGGTGAGTTGGCCCCGGCCAGCCCCAAGTGCAGCGCAGCGTGCGTAATGGACTCTTCACTGCATAATAGCTGTTCGAGTGGGGCCAGTGTGGAGCATTTCGCTGCACCATGCTTCTTGTTTTTGCAACTTTCCGCATAATTTTCAGAACCTTTCGGAAAGGTTGTGGTAAAAATGCGAAATGCAAATTCCTTCGCATTTTTTCCCATACCTTTTCGCAGCATTAACTTTCAAATACAATGTACTGTACATGCAACAAAACTACAAAGTCCAGTATCATCAGCAGTTTGTTACAAGTGTAGCTCATCAAGCACAGCAGTAGCTGCCCAGCAAGTTTTATGAGCCTGTTGTCTATTCCAGTAGTGCCTGTACCAAATAAAAGGTGTCATAGGTCAAGTGTAAATTCACGAGTTCAAACCTTTCAGAACAGCCGTATGTCAGCTCACATGCACATGTTCAAAATAGTGTGACATCAGTTTATGTTCTCAAGCAGGGGCGGATCCAGGATTTTCCAAAAGGTGGGGGCCTGATACCATATTTTCAAAAGGGGGGGGATGAACTAAAGCAGTAATGGTTACATGCTCGTAAGGCATGGCGTCTGGAGCGATTTTGTTCTCTGGGCATTCTGTGGGGCCATTTTAGGCAGCATGATCTCTCTTTTTTTTCTCCCTCCCTCCCTCTTTTTCTTCTTTTTTATTTATTGTTTTGATGATGGGGGCGTGCACTCCACATGCTTCTATTGGATCCCCCCTGTCAAGTGGCCTTGCCTATTTGAACCACTGAACTGACGTACAGGTATCGTTAACATGATGATCCAAGAAATTAAGTTCCTTTTCCTTCTCCATTGAATTTTCCTACTGTAGCCACTTTATTTAAGTTTATTAATTATGTAATTCCTTTGTCAGTTTCTCTATCTGTCCAAACTTGAAGCACTCCCTCTATGGCACAGAAGAGACAAGCTGGTGGATAGATTTCTAACCAGGCTTGTTCATGAGCATGGCGCATACGTATGGATAGTACAGTCCAACAGAAATTGGCAGTGCATGCTCAGTGTGGCATGTGCACAATGTGAAGAAACTTGTATGTGAACGCAGTGAGCTCCCTGGAAAGGACCATCATTGCCATGTAAAACAGTAAAAACACATGATCTCTTGTTCCTGCACGGAGCGAATGTGATGTGACAGTTTTCTTTTTCAAAACAAGTTGGCAGGACACATTTTTTGTTCTCCCCAAGGACAGTGATGGTCAAGGACTAACTGACCAGGAAATCTATGACGAAGTGGACACGTTCATGTTTGAAGGGCACGACACGACAGCATCAGGCCTGTCTTGGTTCCTGTATGACATGGCCCGGCTGCCAGAATTCCAGCAGAAGTGCCAAGAGGAAATTGATGACCTCCTAGCGGGCAGAGAAGATGACCGACTGGAATGGTGAGTAAAGCTATGACCGCCATGGTACAATGCTGTGCCACATGTTCATACTGGTAATATATGTCAGAATGAATGTCAAAAATCAGCATCTTTCCAACATCAAGATGGAGACATTCATGTAACCTAAAACATA